GTGAATGTCGACCTTCTCCAATTTCTGTCTTTCTTGATAACAACTATGTTAGTAAAAACTAAAAAAAAAAAAAAAAAAAAAATCTGAAAGCTTTCAGATTTTATATTACGCCCCAAAATGGCGTTTTGTGTGTTACTTTATTTATTAAATATCATGTTTTTCTCGTCTAAACTATAAAATTCAGTTCAATAGCAATATCGCAAAATAATTTTAAAATGAGCACATCTTAGAATTTCCGTTACACAGTCTCGCGCGCTGCAGATAATTTTTTTTTCGTAGAGTGCTGCTATTGCTCGCTTTGAAATCGTTGAGTTTGTTAATCAAAAATTCCTTAAAGGTTTACAGAATATGAAACATGTAGTAAAACAAATTCCAAATTCAAATTTGGGCTTCCAGATGCCCATATTCGGTGGAAGATTACATTATTCAAAATTGGATGGCTCTAGATACCGATGTTTTATCACAATGCGAGAAACATGCATACATCATGCAGATTCTTCATTATTTAATTTCTTTAAATATAACATAGGGCGATAAAGTTTGGTGGCAACAATTGGAAAAGTGAACCGACATTTACAGTGAACCAACCCAAAATGCCAAAACGAAATTAATAGCCCTTCTTGGCAACGTCTTTTGGGTTAATAATTTTCAGCATGAGCTAAAACTCTAAAAAATGTCGACGGATTTCTCGAGAGTGAGGATATTTGTCGGATGGTTTGGCCAGCTAGGTCTTTAGACCGAAACCTTTTAGAGCATGTCTGGGAACGCTCTGGGGAGGGCAATTGCAACTCGCAATCCCCCTCCGAAAACCATCCAGGAACTGAAAACAGCGTTGCTGAATGAGTGTGACCAATTGCCATAGCACTGATAAACTGCCCTATTTCCAGTATGATATCACGCTGCAAGGCCTGTATGGTTGTGAGGGGACCATACCCCCCTATTAACCCATTTCTTTTGTGTCTTTTGCAAGTGCTGTTTCAGACCTTCAGACTCCCATGAGTGTTACACACGGACATGTGTGTCTATTATAACTGTTGAATGTTTATTTTGTTTATATTATATCAACCTATGTTCACACCAAATTTATTAAAATCTGTCCAGTAGTTCTGGAGATCGTGAATCAAATATAAAAATTCTCTTAATTTATTTCACCAGTGTATTTATAATTTAGGAAGAAACTGGGCAGCAAAAAGTCTAGCGCCGGTCCTGATTTACGGGTAACATTTGGTTATTCGCTTATACATATGAACCCAGATAGTTTAAATTCCATCATTTTGCTTCTTTTAGTTCCTTTTATTTGTTAATTTATTTATATCGTTCTTTTCATTCGAACTGTACTATTATATTTTTTTCAAAAAGTTGATGAGAAATAGGTTAACCGTAACACGAAAACGTACCCGATATCGTCTGCCATTGTTCATCCTCTAGAAAGGCGGAAAAAGAACAGCATGTTTTCCAATTGTTTTGCTTCTTAACTCTACGCACTAATTTGTTTCGAATGGTTCGTTTGTAACATGGGTCTTTGGATGTAATTTGTTACGTCAGTTATTCTTTTCTCGATCTTAAAAGTTCTGTCAGTTTAATTGTAAATGTCAGATTAATGAAAAGAGCCTTTTGTCTCGTGATAATGCAAAATTTAAATAGTAGTAAGATTAAAGAGGTCAAGCCTTTGTAGATTTTTAGGTCTGGTTTATCTCTTTCGTTAATGATTATTAAAACTAACAGCAAAAGCTTATTATCTTTGCAATATTACCCGCTTTTTAATTAAAAAATATAAATATGAAATCTGTAATGGCAACAGCTTGAAGAGTGGATCTGTCTTACACTGATAATATATTCTACGATGTGGTAACGATTAAAAGGAAAAGAAGTGAACTAATTCTTAATAAATGTGTTACTCAGATCCGCCGGGAAATTATGGTAGACAAAACGAAGGGAAAATTGCAGAGATAGATCCAAAACTTATTTAGAATTCTATGTGATTTTTGCGATTGCTATTAACTGAGCACTGAAAATAAAAATGTGACTTTAAATGTTCTTAGAATTGTGTTTTATGAGATTATAATTATTGAGTCGAATTCCATTAAACAGGATGAATGCCGTCACAAGTAATTAAATAAGGAGATATAATTAACAATAATTACAAAAGCAAAGCTATTAAACCAAGTCAAAAACAGAACGCTTCTTCTTTTTCTGGGAAAATACAGAACGTGACCAAATTAATATTTACACATTTTAACACAAGTTTACGCCTGCCGTTGGCAGCAGCCTTGAGCACGCGATTTAGCTCAGTTCCGCCCCCAGTTTCGATGAGCACCCTCGGGGGGACGGTTTCGAAGATTTCCCACTTCTCTTTTCCTACCCTCAAACTCTCGAGAGGACTTTCGGTTCGCTGCATATTTAGAGTCCCCCATGCCGCACAGACACTATATATTTACAAACATCCGTGCCTTCTCCGGGATTCCGACCTGGGCCCTTCGGCTCGGCAATCGGCTACGCTAACCGCTATACCAATTGGCCGGCGCCAATGCCTATAAACGGCCTGAGCTTGCTATTGGGGGGGGGATTATTTGAGCCATCCTGGAGCTGCGTAGTAACTTGTCGGAGTAGTTTTGGATTATTGATCAATGTTTTAAATTTATGTGACTGTTGTTATTTAATGTTCCGAGTGTGAAGCAATCATGACAAAAAAATCTCGAAAATTATAATGCAGCTATACGATAGAACAGAAATCAGCCAAAACTAATGAAATGAATATTTATGCATGCAATCTAACATGATCCTCTATGAAATGATTAAAAAATGTACTTATGAACAACGAAATAGACACCAAGGTATTATCAAAATACCAGTTGGTATTTCAAAATAAAATAATGAGAATTGCGTATAAAGAAACGCAGAATGCGTGACGGAGACCGGCACAATAAAGGGGTTGTCCTAGTAGGGGAAAGGTGAAAACGCTACATATTGTTTAGTGGATTTCCTTGCTGAGTTGGATCGCGATGCCAGACGCCATATGTTCTATGACTGGATGTTGTGCTAGAGCAGTAGTGCTACGAAGCAAAACCTGCAAAACTATAGGCGAAGTTCTAGTGCTTCATCCGCTTATCCAGTCGGTTGTGTTTATTTAATTTGCATCGCCACACGCAGTGGTTATCTGTAGCACAAGTCGCGCCCTGTTTTGTTAAAAGTTCAATATAAATAAAAATGTTGTTTTTAAAACTTTGTCATAATATCTCGGTCATAGCACTACATGTCTGTTATTGTTATGAGACTAAAGCTCCAGTATTAGACTAAATATAGTCTTATTATAACTTATTTGGACATTCTGTATTGGAAGCTGTAATGTTTCAGATGAGTGTGCTTGAGCGTATGTATATATTGGTACTTACGTATTAACGCAACCAGGCCAAAATTCGCATAAATTGACAAATTTGGCGACCCTACTTACGGCAACCCTACGTGTTATACGTAGCTTTGTAAAAAGAGCATGTGGAGATTCACAAAATTTTTCCCTGCATTTCGTGCAAATTTTTGTAATTTATGAGAAAATAGCAGTGTACATGGATAAAGTCAAGAGTGTGCGCAATGCTATTTTTGTGCAATTCTGGGATGTTTTTTTAAGTAAAAATAAGTCGACGTGTATATGGTTTCCGGTTTCGAATTTGAATAAGTTGCAGAATTATTTTTTCGGCGGAAATCTTTTGGCTATTGCTTTTAGCACTGATTGAAAACCGTATTCGCCATAACCATGTACACGTCGACTTATTTTTACTTGAAAAAACATCCCAGAATTGCACAAAAATGGCATTGCGCACACTCTTGACTTTTATCCATGTACACTGCTATTTAATAAATGTACATTTTATTTCTATTCATACTTTTTTACTCAAACTTACAAATCGCGCCAACCTATTTGCGATAATACGTAAGTACCATATATTCTTTTGTTCTTAGTTTTTCACAGGTGGGAGATATTACGAAATGACAGAGGATACCATTTTTTTTTTTTCCAAGTAACGCAGGTGGATTTGCAAGTGTTATTGAACTGTATGTGGTGCAAAGGTGCTGTGGTAGGTAGAACTTGACCCTCTACCCGTGAAATAAAGAAGCATATGATGATGCATCGGTTTCGAGCCGGGAAGAATTATCTGTAGACTGTGAGGCAGGAAGTCAAATACTACTAACGAAAGAAGGTGGAAGAATGTGTTACCTACTTTCACAAACCTCTAAGAAAAACCGCAGATACGCGATACAAGATACGCGATTCAGACTATCTGTATTTCGCTTCCTAGAGAAATCATACTCGTTAGTTGTTGATCTATTCCGCAGCTTTCAAGATTATGCACGGTTGTCAATGTGGCTATTTTGCTATTGTTTACCAATAGCTTGCCAATGTTGGCCTTTTTAACGTAGGCGATATCAAAAATATTTGTTCTCGCTGTAATTAGTGTTTTTGTTATAAACGTTCAAAGAAGATATTTTGGGACACTTTATATTCATATATAAAGTGATAAATAAAATTGCAAACGAAAGCGATAAATAAAAGTGCAAACGATATTTTGGGCCATTTTATACCTAATTTATTTCCTAAGTACTCTAATTTTTAACATTTAGTGATAATAATGGTGTCCTTCGAAAGAATAATCATCGGAAATTAAAAACATATTTAGTAAACATATTAGTAATATTTAGAAGCTTTTCTGTAGAGATATTAGGTAATTTCTTTTTTAAAGCAGAAGAGATGAAAAATGCCGGGACTCGAAATACAGACCTCTCGAATACACGTCGAGCGTGCTGACCACTACACTACGAAGGCATACTAAGACAGCGGGAGAAATACCTTATATACTCCCCCTTTTAAAGGGCGATTGGGGATTAGGGGACCCAATCGCCAAATCCTGGCGGTGGAGAATCATCACCCCCCCACCATTTTTAGTTCGGGCGCCACTGTAAGGATACTAGGTTATTTCGAAGCAGGAGACTTGTAAAATGAGCAATGCCCTCGTTGGGACTCGAACCATGAACCTCTCGGATTCGCGCCGAGCGTGCTGACCACTACACTACGAAGGCATGCTAAGAAGGCGGAAGAAATACCTTATAACTCTTGGTGTTTCTCGCTATGGTCAAATTTTCCATCCGTCTTTAAACAACTCCCTCATAATCTATAGAGTTAAAATTCTGTACATACTCTTGTTGTAGATGATAATATAATGGTATGAGGCGGTTTTTTTTTTCAAATTCGATTTAGACTTTTAAAATTTAATATTGAAACAATTTTTGGCATATATAATCGCTTAATGAACATAAAATAGCACTCAGAAATTTACTGTTTGCTCCATAGAAAAAAAAAAAAAAAAAAAAAAAAAGTCTTTTAAATCTCTTTTAAACGAAGTTTATATAACATTTTAATGTTTTATAGTACTAAGCCTAATTTTTTGGCACTTACATCAAATATAATTCAACAGCAAAATTACAGAATTTTTAACAGCAGCATAGCAGCAACTGTTTAGAATTCCTAAGGCAGTATTTAATGTTATGCACTGCTGACATACACTTTTATGTTTTTATTTTCCCAGTCTTTACTTATTTCTTCATATCAATGTTCAGTTTTCTTAGTAAGAGGACATATAAAACATTTTTAGTCGTCTTCTACTCGTAATATTAAAATTTTTTAACTTTATTTATTAAGTTCTTCGCCCTTACGCCATATAAAATTCGATTCGACAGCAAAATCACAAAATATTTAAAAACAACATATCTTTAGAATTTCTGATAGACAGTCTCACTCGCTGGAGATATTTTTTTATTTTTTTTAAATTTTGTACAGTGTTATCTCTGCTGGCTTTCAAATCGTTCAAAATTCGTTAAAGTTTTACAAAATATGAAATAAAAAGGGCAAAACAAATTTGAAATTCAGAATTCGGACTTCTAGGTGCACGTGTTCGGTTGGAGGACTGCATTAATTCAAAATTTCATGGCTATAGGTATCGTCGTTTTTTCACAATGCGAGGAACATACATATAGTTATGCAAATTCTTCATTCTTATATAAGTTTAAAAATTAAGAGATTAAATTATCCTCTTTCCAAAACTCATCCACAGTTTTATATCGAATAAGAAAAGTGTGGGCGCCTGCATAACGAAATGGAATGGTCAGATTGCATTGTCAAAAATAGAAGTCATTATTTTTATAAATTTATGAAGCGCCTCATGCTTTTATTATTCGTGATACTACAGGGGGGCGGCAGGGAAACCACCTTATTTTAAAAGTGAATAACACAAATATTATAAGCGATATCAGTTACATTTTTTTCAAAGTTATAGAGAGACACTTCAAGATTTTTTTTTATTACGGTTTAAAAATAATATCATTAAGGTGGCCTCCTTTCTGGTCAATGCATTGAGATAGTCGAGTTTTGAAGTTTCTTTCCAGTTTTACCAGCATATCAACGGGTATGTTGTCGATAGCAGCTTGAATATGGTTCTTCAGTTGAGCCAGGGTCTTTGGACGTTGGAGATTTCAGATAGTCCCGCAAAAAGAAATCACACGAGGCTAAAACAGGGAGAGCGCTGGCCACTGACCGTCGCCTCGTAAGGAGATAAGGCGTCTAGGAAAATGTTCTCCAAAAAATCATGGTCCAATGATGCCTATTCTGGACAATGCACACCAAACAGTCACACGTTTTGTATGGAGGGGGGGGGGCTGCTCTTGAAATTCTCGCAGATTCGTGCCACTCTATTATCGCATGTTTTGCTTAATGCATGCTGCAACCGGAAAGATGAAAACGAGCCTCATCGCTAAAGAACACAAGGGCATCATCAGGCGTATTGCCAAGAACGGCTTTGCGTGCATTTTTTCGTGAAAGAAAATTGCGTGGATTAAGGTTTTGCACCACTGCCAATTTACATGACTGAAAATCCAGTACGTTGAAAAGTACGACTCCACGGAGAACGCGCGCTCGTCTCTCGTCCATTGCATAATCGGTACTAAACCTTCATGACATGAAACTTTAGATACCACTCTTTTCAAACAGCGCCACCCCACCCTTCTCGGCATAAATGTCGCTAGATGGCGCGCGTTTCAAATAAGAAAGGTTCCCTGCCGCACCCTGTATGAATGAATTTTATAAAGAAAATTATTTAATCTCTTATTCCCATTAAAACTATATGATAAATTACTTTTCTCTTTTTAGGTTACTGCTCATGTCTGAAATTGAAAGCGCCAGCTCATTCCGCTTTGATTTCCTATTACTGAACGTTTTGTTTGGCTTATTTCGATTACAGCAAAGCACTCGAGGACTATGTGCTTAAGAAGAAGGATGCTTAAAAAAAAACTTAGTATGTTCCCCTTTCTTAGGCACCACAGGGAAAGGAAGGAATGCTATGTCGAGGCCTTTTTAAGAGAAACTGGCTAGTATACATGGATAAAACCACGATAACGCTCTTTTCAAGCCCTTTCTCCTGGACTCGAACCCCGGACAGACTTACAATGTTCAACGGCTTTTACTGCTCTGCCGCTGGTAGACCACGGAGGGCTTTTTAAAAGAGTTCATGGGAGATTTTCTAAGGGATACATAGCGGTCTTCTTAAGGGAAACAGTTTCGTATTATATGCCCATGCAGCCAGCCTGTTCGCCGAGACTCGAGCCACGGATCGAACTACCAGTGTTCATCAACTTTGCAGCTGGTGGGCGTCATTACTGATAGAGCTAATTGCTTGGGGTTTCTGTGGATTCCCACTCCATGTGTAGCACAAATTGTGGTTGGTTTTGTTAATTCACAAGGAAGTAATTCTATGGAAACAACCAGACTTATCTTACTTAGACAGCCAAACTTACAGCGCTTTGTCATGATTATTTAACCAAGACATTAAATAACATAAAATACATTTCACTTCTGACTTTTCAATTACGCCTTTTTTTACGCATTATGATATGAATTTTTATTTTATATAATATAGATACTTGGATTTAAATTTTGAAGTTATGATTATTATAGAAATTATTAGATCTAAAATATTCAAAAGATTTATAATCGATTTGGAAACATGCGCTGCTGCTTCATTCCCCTTAAAATTTTCAGTTATTGACGCATTTTTGTTACTTTATGCAGACTGTTTAACATGTATTCCAAGCAAGGACAACTATTACCCCGTCAAGTTATCTTAAAGAAACTATAGCAGCAAGAGTCAACATAAATTGCGTAAATTTGCAGGACTTGTAGAGTCATTAGGTATTTTTGAAGCAAGAGACGCGAAAAATGTGCTTTGCCTTCACTTGGACTCGAACCCTGGACCTCTCGAATACGCATCGAGTACGTTTTCAATTACACCACGAAAGCATACTGAAAAAAGGGAGAAAATACCTTACGTAGTTCCTCCCCCTTTTTATTAAAGGGAACTCGGAATTAGGGGACCCAGTTGCCAAGTCCTGGTGGTGACTAACTATCGTCCACCACATTTTAGTTCGGGCGCCACTTGTAGAGTTATTAGTTATTTTGAAGCAGGAGACGTGTAAAATGTGCAATGCCCTCGCTGGGACTCGAACCCTGGACCTCTCGAATACGCGTCGAGTATGCTTCCAATTACACCTAGAAGGCATGAGAAGAGAAGAGAGAAAATACCTTATAGACTGCCAAACAGGTCTTTTTTGGGTATTGGACTTTTCAGATAAAGGCTGAATGTCATAACTGGTTTAGCCCGAGCTTCTATCTATATATTGCTACGTCAAAAAAACTGATTTAAATTATTTTGGCATAAAGTTCGAAGTTTTGTATGATTTGGTATAAGAGTCAACCAATCAAAGCGACCCGCGGAACCAATTGAGCGGGAAAACAGAGCGGGAAAGCTGTAGACACATCCACGCATGCGCAAATTTAGCTTCTCTAATTAGTTACTGCGTAGCCCTGTCTCGTAGGTGTGAACGGAACTCCATCATTGTATGCCTCTATGACATTTGGAGCTTTTCTTGAAAATATCTAATGAAACTGATTTTTATTTCTCATTATAATCAAAATGAAATAAAGCTGTAAACCTCATAAAAAAACTGATAACTTAATGTTAGGTATTCCAGACTAAGATCATATATTAGATAAATAAGGAGAACAATTGTTGATACGGCAAACAGATAAAATATAGCATAATCAGTTGTTTTCTAACACCTAGGACTGACTATTCGTGATAACCTTGTCATTTCATTTATCCTTTACTCATTGATATGAAAAAATGTAAAAGCAAAAATCTGACCTTGATCGGATTGCTTATTTTTCTTCAAGAAATATCTAAAATTAAAATTGTAGGAACAAGTAAGCGGCCATTTTGCGATAAAGGTTAAAAAATATCTCGCCAGAAGTTACTGAACAATTAATTATTTAATTAAAAAAGTTGAAAAAAATGCAAGTAAAAAGAACAAAGAATTATTTTCTATTTTTATCTTTTTTTTTTTTTTTGTTGTTGTTGTCTTATCTTAAGATAAAGCCAAAAAATTTAAGCTTTAGAAGTTTAGAAAGAAAACAAGCTAGCGTTAATTTATTGATACGAATAATAAATAAATAAACCGAAAGAAACTTTTTTAATTAACTGGTAATTTTGCGATGATGATTATAAATAATTTAATAAAAGCTGTCATATTTATCATATATGTAGTTTTATTAAAGCGTTTCTTTTGTCACTGTATTGGAGAAGACGAAGACTTTTTTAAAGGTAAAGAATAATTAATTTTGGAAGTATATAATAATAATTTTGGAAGCGGGAAAGAGGAAAGTGCTAGTTAGTGATAAGGAATTATTACAGTAGTAAGTATTTTATGTTCATTTAGCTTTTCTATCACTCCCGCTTTCCTGCCAGAATGCAAATTTTAGTTCACGCGTATTGAAATGAGGTAGAGAGAAATAGTATTTGTAGGAAGGTTTTAGATTGTAAAACCAGAGCGTGTTCCGCCTGCTAAAGGCCATGCTACTACTTGAGCCTCTTCATAACAGTTTATTTGCTGCGTTGCCTGAATCTCGGCATTAGGCTCGTCACGCTGATATTAGGTTTGAGTCAATTTGCGCGTATTCTTTATCTGTAGACTTTGGGCTAACTTACTATTTACTTTGTTAAATTTATTATTAACCCAAAGGAACAATTTGCCTAGAAGGGGTATCAATTGAATTTTGAAACATTCCTCTATAAAATGGGTTTTCACTTTTCAAATTATTTCCTCCAAATATTAGAGCACTGCATTATATTTCAAGAAATTAAATGATGAAGAATCTGCATGAATGTATGTATATTTCTGACATTGTGAAAAAATAACGGAACCTAGAGATATCAAATTTTAAATAACATAGACCTCTACTCGAATATGGCCATTTGGAATCCCAATTTGAAATTTAGAATTTGTTTTATTATCTATTTCATAATTTTTAAAACTTTAAACGAATTTTTGATTAACAGACTCAGCGATTTCAAAGCGAGCAATGGGGAGGGGGAGAAATTAATCTCCAGCGCTCGAGACTGTGTATCGGAAATTCTAAGGACGTAGTTTTTAAAAATATTTTGTGATATTGCTGTTGAACTGAATTTTATGGTTTAAGAGCGAAGAACATGATACTTAATAAATGAAGGTAACACACAAAACATTAATAAAACACCCCTTTGGGTGTAATATAAAATCTGAAAGCTTTCAAATTTTTCTTCTTCTTCTTCTTTTTTTTTTTTTTTTTTTTTACTAAAAATTTTTTTCTGGTTTTCTTAGCACAAGCAATGCTTTCTGTTAAATTACTGAGTTTAACAAAAGGGTCTTTTATTCCCTTATACATCTCTATTATAATTTCCAACACACAGTGATAATTCGTTTACGCTTTCCAGAGTCTCAAGTTAGTTTATGCTTCCAAAGAAGGTGAGATTCTATGCAGTTATTTGCTTGGCGCCAAGTTCTTTTGTACCGCTGTTTTAATATCATCGTTGTGAATTTTTGGATTAAAAATTTAAGAACAAAATCTCGAATTTATGTAACTATGCGATAAGTGCCGAATTTACTGTCTAAATTAAAAATCCAGTTTAAGGTGATTAATTAATCCATTAATAAATGCTCATTAGATAAAACCGTGTATAGATGTAATAAACGATAGAGATAATTATAATTTATACATCATTTATCATATATATCAAAAAATAATTATAAGCTATATTCGAAGATAAAATAACGAATAATAAAGGTTAGCTTCTTAAAACTTTATTTAATATCTAAAAAATAGTTGATTTGAGCTACACTTTTCTTTTCACACACACAAAATAAATAAAATAATAATAATAAAAAGTCTGAAATGTTTCAGATTTTAAATTATGTCCAAAGTGGCGTTTTTTAACATTTTGTGTGTTACCTCTCTTTATTAAATATCATGTTCTTCGCACTTAAACCATAAGATCCAATTCAACAGCAATATCGCAAAATAGTTTTAAAATGAGCCTATCTTTAGAATTTCCCATACAGAGACTCACGAGCTGGAGATAAAAAGGTTTTTTCTGCACAACGTTGCCATGGCTCGCTTTGAAATCGTTGAGTTTGTTAATCAAAAATTCGTTAAAGTTTTACAAAATAGAAAATCGATAATAAAACAAATTCCAAATTTAAAATTTGGTCTTCCACATGCACATATTCGTTGGAGGATTACGTCTTTCAAAATTCCATGGCTCTATGTACCGTTATTTTATCCCAATGCGAGAAATAGACATACATTTATGCAGAGTTTTCATTATTTAATTTCTTCAAATATAATGCAAGACTCTAACATTTGGTGGCAACAGTTTGAAAAGTGAACCGTCATTTATAGGAGTTCGACGCAAAATGCCAAAACGAAAGTAATAGTCCTTCGGGATTGAAATCCCTTGGACTAAAAATAAAATAAAAGACTAAAAATAAAAATAAAAATAAAGGACTAAAAATAAAAATAAAAATAAATAAATAAAATTGTTTATGTAGTCACGGATTTTTTTTTTTTCTTAATACGATTAGAGACGTCTTTATCAAGATTTCGGCAGTCATATGGATCAGCATTAACTATTATTCAAACTATTTTAGTATTGTGTACATTACCAAATTATTAAAACTGTCAATATTATCAAAATTGTCTTAGTGTTGTGAAAACTGCCTCAGAGGTCTCTGTGTGAATAAAGCATTGTTGAAATTTCCTTCGCACTTGCCTTCATAATTTGTGGGCCAGTTTTAGATGTGAAATAAAATTGTTTTAACGGGAAAGGATCCAACATGTCTAAACAGACTGTCTCTCGGATTTATTATAATTACAGTAAAAAAAAAAAAAAATCTGATGTGGACATCCCATATTTTCCTTGTACGGCCTATTAAATTATACATATTTTTGATGCATTTTATTTAAATTTATGTCCTCGAATTTCATTAGAGATATATTTCTCATTTAAGTAATTCACTTCTCACTTCAACGCAAGACAAAAATACATAAAATCTCAAAACATCTTCATTAAAAATTGTAAAATACAGAAAAACATAAAACATCAATTACAGATAGAAGCAGTTAATTTTTTTTTTTTTTTTTTTGCAATAAATATTACAATTTGTTCGCCAAAGCAAGCAATATGGACAGCGGACAAGAAGACAGATTTTTCGGTGCACAGAACTGAACATTTATTTTTAGTCACCCTTGGAAAAAGACACTGAAGTTTGTGCACAAACTGACTTAATTCACTATTCTAAAACTAAACTCAGTGCAACACAGCCCTAGTGGTCCAAGCAAACAACAGCCTTAGTGGGCCAAGACTTTCAGTGCCCGAAAATCTGCTTTCTTGACCGTGGGTTCGGGGTATGTGACCATATGCCCTGAGCAAATAGTCAGCTTGTCGTAGGATCCCCCAGTGTTAGTAATTATCATTATAA